ACTGTGACCTGGTTTCTTTGAATTACAATGTGCGTTCGAGTGGTTCAAGCTCCTGTTAAGGCATAATCTACACGTGGCTTCGCTCCTGGAAAGTCACAACCCTGTTGCGACGTGTTGGGAGGTGTTGCGACATGTTGGGTGTTGTTGGCTCAAATTTGAAAATGGTCAAATTTCTCATGCAACATTTGTGGATGTTGCATGATATTGTGGTCGTTTAATTTAAGGTTGAATAGAAAAGAAAACTCTCCTAGCGCTTCAAATTCCTAATTGTAGACATTTATTCAAAATAATAAGCCTTAAATGAGATATTGTTTTCTTCCGATGCTTGCATGCCTGCGTGCAAGTACCGGCGCGAGTTTTTCTCAGCCACAGGGGTCAGAAAGCCAACAATACAATGTAATGTAACGACAAAAATATGGCAAGAATTTTCAAAAGTACTAAGCGTATTTCGCGCACCTTCACTGTTTTTTGCTAAGAATATTCTGGTTCAGGTTTTAAGCAGTCCAGTACATTCCAACGGCAAAACGATCTCTCGCGTACCCAAACTAGTCATTAGAATAGTATACGCCTCATTAACATATAAGGAACGGGTTATACGAATTCACTCTATTGTATGTCTTCACACGACGCTTTGATATCTCGCTTACACTGGAACTTAGTATTTGTCCACCGTCTTGGGGTCACTGGTTCAAATCCCTTACAAATATTTTTTTCTTTTTTCTTTTTTATTTGGTTGGGTGTATTGTTTACCAAAACATCGCTGTAGTTCGCTTGCAATTTCCCCAGCAAGATGACGCCATGCATGAAATAATAGTTAATTTGTAAATTTATACCTGACAAAAAGTTCAGAAGGTGAATCGTTCCAGCCGATAACTTTTAGAAAGTTTTACGCCTGCACCGACCACCCCCTAATTATAATAACCTACTAGTCTGATGATCGCCCCTTGTATTATCGTTCTAACTTAGAATTCAATACTTCTCAGGCTAACTTTCATTATCTTTGCTAACCTTATGGAATACTTAATAAGGCTAATTTGATGAATAGTGCCAACACATTTAACAAAGGGTTTTTCAGTTATATTCCCTCCCTCTCCCCTCCAAAAGAAACAAGAAATCGATCAAACAAAACATAAAAATCGCTGCGACTAAAGTACCTTGTTTGTGCGGTTGTCCGGGTTAAATAAGTATATGTTATTTGCCGACCTTGGTCGGTCCGTATTGGAAACATAGTCCGGACTAGAAATCCTTGAAAAACTCTGTAGTTTAGAAAAATTCAATTCCATTAAAACATTTTTGACGAAAATCTAAACATGCAAGACACACGTCCAGCCTTTAACTTTGTAGACAATTTCATTCCATTTTGCTCTTTCTTTTAACAGGCGCAATGAACTTAGAGAGAGGTGTAAGGTTTTGCTGGCAAGTAAAGATGAAGAGTTGAAGGGAATAAAAACAAGGTACATGAACATGTCATAATCAAAATTAATCATGTTTACTATTTCAAAGCTCGGGCTGTTTTATTACTGAATATTTTTTGTCCGTCTAGTACGGAGAGGAAAGGGAGAGTGGAGATGGAATACTTAAGGGGAGGGGCTATCGGGATGAAACGTTTAGAGGGAATAAAACACTTCAAAAACTTATCAACATTTCCATAAGAAAGTAGCCCTAACCAGTTTAAGGAAGAGGAATTTCCTTTCCAAAGGCCCACGCCTAAATCGGTATAAGTCCCCAAGTGCTTGCCATAAAAATGTTCAACAGAGAGTGCGAAACTGTTGTGAAAGGAAGAATGGGCTCAAGTGCCGAATATAAATGACAAATAATATAATATTTGATAAGTTCTCTCAATTTTGGAAACAGATTTTGTTAAGCAAAGGAGTTGCAATAAGACGATTGACCTAATTGTGGAAATCTAAGAGTAATTTTTCGTATCTTTTTTTTTCGCGTGGTGAGTGTCACGATGTGCCGAAAAAAAGCAATTTGCAGTCATGGAAATCTATAGTTATATGCGGTCTTTTATATAGTTCAATTATATCTACATGAAAAAAAAAAAAAAATTGCTGACACATGTAGCCTGGAACCGATGTCAATTAAACTCATGTTTTTTCTACTTTAAATCAATCTACAATAACTATGTGAAGCGGTTTTCCCGACCGAGCGCAGACAGTGAGGTTGACCAGCCTTCAAAGTTGAGATGATACGTTTCTAAAAAACATCAGATGACCCATCTTAAAAGTCATGTAACGGATTTATCCCGTAAAGTCGACAGGCCCATCTGTAACGCCACTTGGCTTCTTCTTTGTTTCAATACTCAGTAACGAGTACCTAACTCAACAAATAAACATCAAGGACGACAAAGTGAAACAATGTGAGACAAGGTAAATATATAACAAGTACGTGATATTATATGTTTAGCATGAGATTTCACTAATTAGTAGGCTGACTGCAAAATAGTCAGCTAGTAGTTTTGACACATAACTATGGTTGACTGATTGATTGATTGATTGATTGATAGATAGATTGATTGATTGATTGATTGATTGATTGATTGATTGATTGATTGATTGTTAAAGCGGTGATCATGAACCATTGATTTTAATGTCAGAGAAGATATTGGAAAATGTAAATTTTGCGTTCGCTACTATAGAAACGAGAAGAAACCTGGGACAACCTTTTCATCCCACGGCCGCTTGTGGGGACCGTTAAACGATGAGAAGCCATACTTTACTGTCCCCAGTACACTGCCAGGGACTGAAAGATGTAGGTCGTCTCAGATTTCTTCATGTTGAAGTGTTTAATTAGTCTCATAGATTTGGATAAGGGGCGGGGAAGGGGGGGTTAAAAGAAGCTTATGAGTACTCTAGAAAAGAATCCAAAAAACGCTGTTATTGAATCTGTGAATTTATTGCTCAGTATCGAAATCTGTGAAACGCCTTTTTCAGTAAAGATTAAATAAAACTTTTACTAGTAGCCAACTGAAGTTATGCCTAAAATAACTAAGAAATATGCAATACGTCAGAAATAATTAGAGACAGATAAGGCGATGACAAGGCTTTTATTTTAATATCAGAAAAGGTTTTTCAAATCTGGATGGTGTATTTACAAATACATTCCATGCTACAGTGCGTCTGTTCAGTAATAGTTCACTGATGACGTAAAAATGTTGTAAGAACAAAAAAGTGGCACACGAGGCGACATCCGAGAATGTCACTAATGTTCAGACTCACGGCACCATGGTATCTACTTGTTTATACAATAAAGAAACAAACTACGACAGAAAAAGCTTTTTTATTTCAAAATCTTTTAACATAGTGGTTACTTTGCGTGGCAAAGAATTGTGATTGGTCCAGGAAAATCACGCCGCTGTCAAACTTGAATCACGCGTCGCTTCTCGTGAAATGAACTTACAGGGAAAGTAGAATGGAACTACTACAAATCTTAAAGAAAATGCTGGAAAAGTCAAGTTAGTTGTTGTCATCAGAGCAGCCTCGTGAACTGAGTAAACCTGGACGTTGCCTTGAATAGGCAGGAGTTAAAAAATACGCTAGGAAAACTTGCGGTTGCGGTCAACACTGGAGGCCATTCGATTCGAGGTTTGAATAAAAGGAGCTTTAGTCACGGAAATTTGTGTCGTCTGTGATTGGTGATTCTCAGATCAATTTGATATAGCGTCGGAGACACTTTCAAACTGCGATACAGTTGGTCGTGAGCTGTAGTGAGCTATAATTTGCTCGCTGCTGTTCCCTAAAACATTCGCGTCGAAAAACAAGGTTACGTGTTTTTTCTTAACTGATCTCAAGAAGTGGTGTTTTGATGTTTCATCCCTGGCATCAATCTATGTCGACATTTATTTTGAGACTGGGAAAAGTTGAATTTGTAAATAAATTAATTTCACAAACACTTTGCTTATTGGGCTTGCTAAATTCGAGACAAAGCAATGGTTTCTTACCTTGAATTAATTTCAAGACCAATTTTGTGTTTGCTTTAGTCTCGCTCGACCGCCGACTGAGACTGCTGGAGTATTTATTCTGGGTAATTCTTTTTATAAAAAGAAACGGCTTTTTCTTTCTTCTTCCTGCTTCTCGTACCTGTTCACAGCCTCGACAAGACATCTTTGTGCCTTATCTTTCACCCAGCTACGTAAAATATTACCTAAATTCTGAAAACTCTCCGCCATTTTAAAATCAGAGAAGAAAATGTCTGTACTTTAATAGATCATAGGTGAGAACCAATCAAAATGCGAGATAATTTTACTTATTTC